AAGAGAGAGCGAGGGCAAGGTAAGCAGCTAAACAGCAGCTGTCGACCTAATTCCTTCTTAACGCAGTGCTTGTGCTCTGATTAAGAAAGCGATCTGGCCTTTAATTTTCTCCTGACACCAGCTAATGCTCTGTGTCTCAATCGTCTACTGTATCCCTCTCATACTACACAACCTCTGCAACCAATTAGCATAAACTGACCTGAGAGAGTTAATTAGGGTAGCAAACATCATCAAATATAAACTTTACAAAAACATTTTACTCTGAATTCAAAAGTTTCATTTTGAAAAGGCAACCCTGCAGAAAGCAAGATCCCAAACAAAAAGAAAAAAGAAGAAAAGGAAGATGAATGAAATGGAAACGGCGTTGTTTTACCCCAAGCCTACTTAGATGATAAAAAAGAAAGACATTTATTTTTGTGCTGTTTTGAAGTCATTAAAAAATATCTTGCCAGACAACTACATATTTTCTAATGCTGGCCAAAATCAGTATTGGTAAGACCAATGGCTTCGTTTTTGTCATGCAATTGTTTGATTAAGAGATTTCACATTAAAAAAAATGTAAGAAGTAATTAAGAAATACACTTGAGGGCATTCATTTTATATTGTGGATTCCTGGTGATGATATGAATATTAGCGACAAACCAGTCACATCAGTTTCTTTCTCTATTCCTATCTGGAAAGGCCAGGTTTAAAATCAGAGCAAAAGTAGATATAATCATTTAAAATCAAACCATCGAAATAGAAACAATTATAAATAATCCACAGTCTAACTTGCTACAGTTTAACAATAGAATGAATGAGAAGTTTTCAGATACAATTCTTTAAAAAAATCTTGGACAAAGACACAAGAGCTATCTATGTCCATTAACCAAAAAATGATCTAATCTTTTCTGTCCACCACACCCTGTACATTGTAGAGCTAATCCACAAAGATTTGTTTCATGGCTAAGGCAGTTAAAAGAATCCCAGAATAATAATGCAAAGTTTCTGTTAATTTATTTTCATGTATTACATTTATGACAAACAAGTGGCAATTGTGAAATAATAATGGTAATGAAAAGTATCACTACTCTCTAGCTGAGACTCTGCGATGGTAACTCCACACTGGACCATGTAATCAATCAGATGTCGTGGCAGCCCACAAGATTATTATTCGTATATTTTGTTGAAGTGGAAGAGTAAACATATAGCTCTGGTTTTGTAGACCAAGGACTCAAGATAGTACAGACGCAAATATGAAAGCAGAGATAAGCCTTGTGAAAACATGAGGTGGTGTATGTGTGTGTTTGCTGCACACACACACGCCATTCGGACCGCCATGTGGAGTGTGTGTGAGAGAGGTGGCGTTGCTAGGAGCACCAGGTTGTGTGCAGACAGTGGTAACAGAGTAGAGACGGCAGCAGCAGCCTGGCAGTGGAGAAGAAAGGAGTGGAGCAATGCCAAGAAGATTCCCCCTGAGAGACTGTAGAAAGAGACAAACAGACAGGGAGAAAAACATGGTGAGGGCACGCCGATATGATCATGTGTGTTCCAGTGAGGGATGCAAGGCAAAATGTACCTGGACAAACACTAAATCATGATATGCTTGGATATAAAGTGGAAGTTATATCAGCTTCATGATCATTTAACAGCAGGAGGGGGGAGATGGTAGACAATTTTGACTGGATGGAGGTGAAGAATGGAAGAGGGAGAGTAGGACAATCTGCTAGGACTCATATTTGCAATCCTTCCTCATGTCACCAATCCATCAGAGAGACTGTTTGTCTATTTCCAACTGGTCCACGTCACTTCCTCACCCCTACACGTTACCCCGCGGTGCCTCTCCCTTGTTTTCTATTTGTTGTCTCTTTTTCAAAATTTTCTCTTCCTTCTTCTTTCCCTCATTTTGTCTTTAAACAGAGTCGTGTGAACAGGCTATGCAAATGAAATGGTTATTACCCCACTGCTCATCAAGCCGCACAGAGGAGACATTAATAGGCTGATGAATATGCATGTGAATTTGTTAATTAAGTTAATTATTCTGCTGAAAATGCATTCGTCTTCCAAGGACATCTTCCCCAGGATTTCAACCTGCTCCACTCATTAGTCATGCGATATTTCATACGCAGAGTGAGAAAAAGAGAGGGCGGCAGACAGTGGGAGGGAGAATGAAGGGGAGAGGAGACAATGAGTTTTCCAGTTGGGGTTGTAAAAGTATGGGGTAAAAATAATGCATTTCAGTGTCATCAGTGCTCACAATGGGATGTGCAATAACTACCCATAATAGCAAACCCCATCCTGCTTTACGGGATGGGGTTTGCTTTTGGACATTATTTCAAGAAAGTTGGAGATGGAGTATATATTTTTAGAGTTTCGTGCATCTTTTTTTTCCTTGCTTCTACCTCACTGGTTACGTCTCCCTAATTGCTTATTAAAACCCTCTTAAATGAACTTTTTGTGCCAACTTTCCAACACATTAATTAATTGTTGTAGCCAATTAAGTGCCGTTGTGCAAATGAGCCTCATCACAAATGGTCCTGTAGGGCCAACCCCTCCTTTCTCTATCCCTCTCCCCGTCTCCTGCTCTTCCCTCACTTCATCACACTCCCTCCAGTCTTACCAGCTGCCCAAGCACTTCAAGGCACTCTGTGCCAAAGAAGCAGAAACTGTGTCCTGATAATGCCTCCCTGTCTTATGGACTGTGTCCAGCCTTCAGCCATATTGATCTTAAACTTGTATGATGATACGTGAAAAGCTCCATCCTTTTGTTTGGCATATTCCAACAAAAGCATCTTAACAGGTCTACACTCAAGTCAGCCACCAAGCCATAAAGTAAATCTGTAGATTTCAATGCCGGCATAATTTTGTGTGTATTGTAAAGGATTTATCAAACAGTTACCTTTATTTAAAACGGGGAAGATGTGAGTTTGCCATCAGAGGCTTGAAAAAAGGAGGGTAGTCAACTTCAAAGCCCTCAGTAAGGTTGCCAAGCTGTTCGCACATCTTCATCCCCCGTGTCGAAACTGGAAACATGCAGAGGAAATCAAATACATGTGTCTGATGAGATGTTGTCCAAGTCCTTCAACACAACACTGAAGAAAAACACAGGAAATGTATGAAATAGTAATGACGTATATGGGTAAAATAAAACAAACGGATGGTTTCATAAATGTATTTATATTAAAACGACATTGACAATTACCATTATTTCCATTTAAAACTATTCCCTTTATGTATCTGTGAGGGAGAGATTTTACATAATTCTTAAAAACCTTTATGTGCTAGAGGGTTTTTAAACAAATTAAAGAAATATTAAAGCCTAAAACCGAATAATATACAGCAAGAAACAAACGAACATAAAAAATCTAAATTTCATGTTCAGTCATGAGATTGGGTTGACATTTCAGGTCTTCCATATTTTTCCAGTGAGTGACAGGTTTGGACTTTGGACAGGCCAGTTTGCAGTTTGGCATCTGCACTTTTCGCTATGAAACTATGCTGTACTGTGTTCTTTGGACACACATCTAAATTCTTCTATTCATTTTCTATGCCCACATAGCATGGGTGATTGTTACTTTAGCTGCTCTTTAAAACATTTAAATAAGAAAAAACATTCTTTGTTTTATCTTTCATTGACTAGGACTTTTTTTTTGCATTGCGAGACCGTATACTTGTGTCCTCTGAACAATAAGAAGAAGTTATATCAAAGGAAACAACATGAATCTAATTACAACTGTTCCAATCCACTGTTGCATTCATGCTGTAGATAACTGGAACATTTTTTTTTCATGTTAACAACAATGAATGAAACACTTGTCAGCATTGGGTCTGAACTTTCTCTTTCTTTCCTCTTGTCTGGCTCTTCCCACTCTGCTGCTCCCATTCGGACGTGGCACTGATACACCCACCATGAAGATTAGGGAGGGTTTAAATACTGTGCCAGCCTCACTCCCTGTGCCATGCCATCCCTCGGCACAGAGGGAGGTCCCACTTGGCATGGCAAGGTGAACTAGCCTCTGATTGATGGGCATGGTTTCAGACCACTACAGTGCTCCCCAAGGCTCGTGCCTCCTTTTCCTTTCTCCCACTGCTGTCTTGGCAGCAGTGCCCAAATCCTCCTCCATGCCAGGCAGCCAGCTAAAGCTCCTGGTGGGCACATCAATTACATTGCTGCACCTCCCCTCTTTTCTCATGTCTATCTGTGGGGCTGTCTACTGTCTCAGACAATGCCAATCTGGTCCCTCTCCATCTCCACTGCTGTCTAAGGCTATCTCACGTGTATGTTGTTTTATATTCCTGTTCATAAATATCTTTGCATATGTGCAAATGTGCATGTATTAATGCATACACTCCCTGCTCCCTCTCAGAGGCAGGTCATAACGGCTGGTGGGAAAATCCTCCCATGAGAGCACTCATTGCCACAGGCTCAGCTGTACAATAGGCTCAGGTGTGTGTATGCAGTATGTTCATGTGTGTGCACAAGCCATGTCTGCTTCAGCTATTTACATTTTTTAAAATCTGCTACTTAATTAGACATCCCACTGCTCCCGTGTCAGCTTTTTTAACAGAGATATAAAAGTACAAACTGTTAGAAAATGACAAATGGCAGGGCATTGTTCTATTCTCAAAGTCTATAACAATGATGGTTTCAATGATTTCCACGTCCTCTGGATTTTGGCGCTTAGTTTTGCTTGGCATAACATGAATCATTTACTTGCAGTTGTGCGCCACCTGGAGTTTTTATGAAGCCACTATCCTTCACGTGAAGCTCAGCGAACCTTTGTTTTGTTTTAAAGGTTATATGTTTCTCATCAAACTGTGCCAAATAAAAAGAATATTATGTTTTTTTTAAAGACACGTATGAACCGGTAAAGGATTTATTGAATTGTGTCTCTTAAAGTGTCTCTTTTAATTAAATAGCTGAAATGCTGAAAAAAAGCGCTCATATGAGAGATGAATGGCCGTCTTACGCCTGTGTGAGCGCTTGAGAGTGTTTGATACGGAAGCCGGAGTGGGAAAGCCGGGAACTCGAAGCGTAGAGTGTATTGGGGGGGACAATGGCGACCGGGCCTGGTGTTACTCTGCAGAGCGCCAGCCCTGCCAGAGAATTTCCAGTTACAAGTCAGCAAGGAAGTAGTCAGACTGTCGAAAACCGACTGAAACCTGATGAGGTTACAGGTACGACCAACGTTTTCAAATATGTTTATTCATATGGTACAACAGAGACCTGGCTAGTTGGGTGAGGCGACTGAGGCTAATAAATGGCTAACAGCTAAGTTAGACGACTATGTAACATCCTTAGCCATTTTTGATTTAGTTAAAATAATGCTGTTGAATGTAGTTTTGGTAGAAAAAACAATAGCACGTGAAACTCTAGAATGTTGTATCGAAAATATGCTATTTGGTGAGGTAGCAGCTGTTTGAGCTAACAGCTAACAAGGACATCTTGCTAACTTAAACTTTGTATAAACCCCAATGCTACAGATAGGTAGCACAGCATTGAGAGTTTGAAACATAATATGGACACCATGCTAGATTGCTTAAGTTGTGTATGGTTGCGGGGACTTATACCCAATATAAAAAAACAATAACACTGTAATAGCACTGTGACACATTGATGTGGGGCTCGCTCTAGCTGATAGTCGTACTCTGAGCTCCGTCGTAGTTTATCGGAGTGGCTTAATTCTCTTGTAATCAGTTGTTATAATTTACTCATTTACGTATTTAGCTAACATAAAATCAAACTGTTTATTACTGTTTAATACTCCCACAAATTGCACTGCTGTGGTTCTGCAAACAGTTGTAATGTAACAAACAAATGTTCATGACATCGAGGATCTTATAGACTTTTCTAATTCAATTAGGTTAATTAATTGTTATTACATCAATGTAAATGAGAATTAAATACATTTTTGTAAGTTTATTATTTACTGTGGGCTACCCAGGACAACTACATTTAGAATTCAAAGCTATACATCTATCTTAAAGTAAGTCTTTTTGTCATGGGAGCTCACATTTATAAAGGTGCTAATGATTTAAAGATAACATTAAATAACCATCTGGATAAAATATAGTAAAGAATATGCATCAGTTGTGACATGGAGTTTTGCACTTTGGAGTGCTGGCAGGTTTTGTTTACAACTCCACAAACACACACTTACGTTATACTGATAGATGCTGCTTTCCATATGGTCTCCTCTGTGGAGTCATGGACAATCTCAGTCAAAGTGTCAGTTATTAAGAGAGAGATAATTATTTGAAAGGCCTTTTCCATTAGTAATTGCTCAGCCCTACTCTGCTCTCGTAGCCCTACAAGAGTTTGGATAGGTGGTTTTCCATCACAGTTGAGGCCTGAGCAAGAAAATGGACCAACCGATATTGAAGGGGGAATTTACTGATTGAACCCTGGTGTTGGTTCATGTATAAGGCATTTACAACGTTGATGATCAGAGAAATGATCAAATCAAAGTATGTTTCTGAAATTGGCAGGATTCTTGTGAAGGAGTTGTTTTTAAGACTCATTTAGTCATGTGAATTTTTTGGCTAATGAGAAGTTTTGGAAGGCCCGAGGTTCCTAATGGAAAGCCAAATAAAAACAGTGCAGTAGAATTGGGCTGCACTCAGTAGGTACTAGTTAGTAAACGCTGTTGATTAACTCTTGTATAAAGTACTTCTTCTGTTATTTCTTTAGAAGCAGAGAAACAAAGTCGCATGGCTGCACTGCTGGATAGGCTACATGTCAAACACAGTGCTTCCCGACCATGGCAGGAGACCTGCAGGGTTGTGCGACAGGCTATGGTGAGAACGGGACATCTTTTTTTTTTGTTACAAATTAAGTGACAAAACTAAAAAAAAAAGCATAACTGGCCATCTTTTTTAAGGGTCTGAAATTGTATCTTTTGTTCACCATCCAGCAGTAGTCTTTGAGATGGGATAATTAATGTTTACCAAAAAAAATCCAGGCTCTGTTCTTTTTTTACATGAATGTTTTGGTAAAAAGAAATGTAATTATTGCATTAAATTTGGTATCAGATGATAAGAGGGAATACTTTTCTTAGGGATACAAAGTTTTCTTACAGATGTAATTTTTTATTTTTTTTATTTAAATGGGTCAAATTCAGGATTTGGCTGACCATCTTCTTTTCCCATCAAATAAATTAGAACACAAAATTGCCATATTTCTGCAGTGGGGGGTTCTTCATAAGTCACAGCGGAGAACCAATACTTACATACCAAACTGTTCAATGCAAACTTGTGTACATTAAACACACAAGTGCACAGGCAGGTTTTTCCCTCAATAGATTACCTTTAGAGGGAGCAATTTATTTATTTTCCCTTTTTTCTCAAGGGTCTGACATTTAAATGTCAGACGAATTGTGCTGATGAGGCAACAAAGAAATAAACCTATGAACATTAGATTTAGAGATAAGCACTTTTTTCTAGACCCCTTGAATTTTTTTCTTACATTGTCTCCCAGGAAAAACGTGGTGTGATGAATGCTGCAGGTCACCAGCTCGTGCTCAACTGTTTGGAGACTTTGCAGAGAGCGCTGAAAGGTAACACTGACTCACAGTGTAGACATACAGGAGAGTATAGAGAAATTGTTACAGTTAAAGAAAAAAACTTTCATTTTTAATGGAGTGTAGGTTGTAGAAACTCAGTTTAACTACTAACATGCAATCTTACTACCTTTAATTGACTGCATCAATTATGTCTTTTTGTCCTTTGCCCTTTGTGTCATTTATAAAACATTCATGCTGTAAATGTATGTTTTTCCTTTAGTGTCATCTCTTCCGTCCATGACTGATCGTTTAGAATCCATTGCTCGACAAAACATGTGAGTATCATAACTTCTGCTCGCAGCTTTTACCGATGGTTCAGATTAAACCGTACCTGAAAACAGAGAATCTGGCAGCCTTGATTATTCTGTTTCCTCTCTTCATTTTTTTCTCATTTCTGCAGGTTGGGCTCTCATCTCAGCCCATCAGAGACAGAATGTTACATCACATCAGATATGTTTTATGTGGAGGTACAGCTGGACACCAGTGGCCAGTTGATGGATGTTAAAGTGGCTCATCAGGGAGAAAACCCCACAGTCAGTAGTTTCAGAGTGTTATATATCAAATGAGTTAATATGAAGCAAAAATCTCACTTTAACATGTTGATTGTTTTGATTACAGAGTTGTCCTGAGTTGATTCAGCATCTTAGGTGAGTAGAAACCACTAAAATAAAACAGACATTGATGCAGGGTTTGTCATTTTGTGTTTTGAGAAAAATGCAGGAAAAAAAAACATGTATGTCAACTTCTTCCAAAGGGAAAAGAAATTTGAAGAATTCTCCAAACATCTCAAGGGACTGGTTGATTTATACAAGCTCCCAGGAGACAAGTAAGTTTACTTGTGGGCGACAAGGTTCTTAAAATATTCTGTCCTGAACTGAAACAGTGTGCTTGAGATGTAGCGTGAATTCAACCTAATCAAAGTGCTATTTCATGAAATAGCGTGTAGAAGGAGTAAAGTTAATTCACCATAAGACAGTTATATATTTGACATTTTTGTGTTGTTCTTGCTGAAAACATATGTAATTACATTGCTTACAATAAATCCTGTGTTTCAGTAAACTGAAAACAAAGATGTATATAGCACTACAGTCTTTGGAGATGGATCTCACCAAGATGATGCACATGTTTAGGTAAGTTGACTGAAAGACAGTCTGTTTGTGAATTCAGTAAGACTCTGTTTAAAACATTTCCCTGTTGTGATATCATGCTATGTGGTACTGTAGCTTTAATTTATTGAAATTAGATTTTATGAAGTAGACCTAATAAGAAGATTGCATTTTCCCAAGACATGTACATTTAGTTCAATAATTGGGTTAATTAAGAGTTGTTATTGTCTTTATATCTTCAAGGTTAGCAACCAACGCTAACACAGTTGAAACTATTCTTCATGGGAGCGTGGGCCTTTTGACAGCCAGAAGTGGTGGCCATTTAGTTTCTCTACAGTGCTACGTGTCCCCGTATGACATATTTGAGGAAGGAACAGTCACACATCTCAACTTAAACGACAGCAATGGTAAGCGCTTAAAGGACATCAATTGTTCATTTGGTGAAGGATCAGTCCACCATTAGACATGATTTGACACTTATTCTTTCAGTACCACGTTCTCTGGGTGTCAGTGTGTCTGTGACAATCGAGGGAACATCTGCAGTGTACAAGCTGCCAATTGCTCCACTCATCACTGGTTCCCACCCAGTAGACAACAAGGGGTGAGAGAATGTACATTACCCTCTCAAAGAACTTTTGAATAAAAAAAAAAGACAACTATACAATTTGTGTTTAGAAACATAATAAGCCAGCCATCTCTGTCGTGTCTTAGAATTCTAATAAGATCACGTAGAGAACAGTTTATTTATTTATTCTTTCTGTTGTGCAACATTTTAGAACACCTTCCTTTTCCACTGTGACCAACTCCAACTGTGTGGACCTCCCAGCTTGTTTTTTCCTCAAAATGAATCGCCCTATGCCTTTTTCTCTCTCCTTTATTCAGAGGTTGGGCACTTCTACATGTGAGTTATCTTCATGAATGCTGTTTTCAGTTGTCATGAATGCATTCTAAACAAGTTTTGCTCTTTTCCTTTAAGAAACTTGGCTTAAACCTTTCCATTGTGTTTTCTCAGCGATCCCAGTGTTTGAGACTCCACCCAGCCTCTCACCTCTCTACCAATTGATCGTCCAGAGCCAGCTGCAGTCCCTGGAGGAGGGCGGCTCTCTGCCCAAACCCTTACACAACATGCACTTCTACTCTGTGAGATGACACACATAATACCGTCACACGTATCACATATTTTCCAAAATTCTTTCATATTTTCTCTTATCTTTTGTTTGGTGTTTGCCAACTATCGGGCCATGGTGTTCATTCTGTGTTCTAATAACTTTTCTTAAATATTTGTGTGAAAAAAAATATTTTTAATGGTACCATTATTTGAAAACTATTCCTACACATTTTTCCAAACAATATTCTGTCTCAATATTGATGTCTGTTCTTTTGTAATTCTGCTCACAAGTTAGAGGTTTCACAGGAAACACCCAATAAATGGAAATATTGGAAACCTCTGTCTTTTAATCTTTTACAGATTTTGCCAGATCAGCAGCATTGTTACTTCCTGAATGGAGATGCCCCAGTGCAAGATGGTCATTCCCTTCAAGGGGCAATGGTGTCGAAAATCCCCTTCCGCCACCCGGCTCAAGTGCCGCTTTTGTTGGATATCATTCGCCACCAGGCAGCCTACAACACCTTGATAGGCAGCTGTGTCAAACGTACTTCTGTCAAAGAAGGTACACATCCCACATCCCATCTTAACATTGTATATATGCAGTCAGAAGCATGCTTTTGTTTGCCTGTGTGATGTTTGAATTACAGTGCAACAAAACTCCTTGTTTTAAACAGACAGTGCAGGCCTTTTGCAGTTTGAAGTATGTCCTCTGACAGACTCAAGTTTCAGTGTCTCTTTCCAACATCCTGTCAATGAATCCTTAGTCTGTGGTGAGTTTGCTTTCATTATTATTAAGTTGTATTAAGTTTTTCCTTTCCTTTTTGTTAAAGTTCACAGTGTATATTTGGATTGTGAATGGTTTTATATTTAGATTGTATGTCTACATGCTCCTTGCTTTTTAAGTGAAATTACAGCAGCAGAAATCAGTTACTTTTTTTTTGTTGGATTAATTGAAATATCTAGCTTTTAAACACTACGCATTATGCATAGAATCATCTGAACATGGAATGTATGTGAGAAACCCATTTGAGTAAATTATTGATTGATAGATTTAAAGACCAGATTTACTTGGATGCAAATAGTTACTTGCAAAACAAGTTGTATAGAAACTTGTTAAAAGAAGTACTAAGTCATTATTATTATCCATACCCCTATTAATGGCTTGTCTAAATGTCTTTAGTGGATTATGATATCTACCGAGTGTTGTGGTCAATACCACTTTCCCCCCTGAAACTATAAAAAGCCCATCTTGACAAAAACAACTTTCCTTTTGTCTTGCATTGAACTGAAGATATTAAAAGCAACACTAAATGCTAAATGTATAAATCTAATTAGTTAAAGTCACTGTACTATAAGAGTAGTTCTTTATCAGTTATAATATCAGTCTTATTCTTGTCCCTAAATCCTCTCATGCCACTTCTTTTTCCAGTGGTGATGGAAGTAATTGACTCTAGACAGGTGTCCTGCAAACTATACAAAGGACTGTCAGATGCTCTGATCTGCACTGATGAATTCATAACCAAAGTGGTCCAGAGGTGAGATTCTTGCTTTTTTCTAAATTGATGTGCAGGAATCATTTTGTTTTCAGATGATTGCATGGTAACTGTTACCTAATCCTTGTAGATGCATGTCCATTCCTGTGACCATGCGGGCCATTCGGAGAAAAGCAGAGACCATTCAGGCAGACACTCCGGCTCTCTCATTGATTGCACAGACAGTAGAGACCATGGTGAAGAATAACTTGCCACCCTCTTGCAGTCCCACCTACAACATGGCCGGGGGAGATGGAAATAATCCAATGGGATTGCCTGGACTTGCAGGAAGCAGCACACCTACTGGAGGAGGCCCTCCTGGAGGACCCAACTTTTCAGGGCCAATCACATCACTATTTGAAATGTCTCGTACCGGGAGACAACCCCAAGGAGAATGCCTGCCAGCAGGGGGAGTGGCAGGCCAGCAGCAGTTGCAGCAACAACAGCAAGCCCAAGGCCATTCAGATGACTACAGCAAAGTCACCCAGAATCCAATATTGACAAGTCTGTTACAGATTACTGGAAATGTCGGTTCCAGTCCCAGTTCCCAGAATGCACCACCACCGCCCCAGACTCCACCGCCACAATCATCTCCTGCTAGCAATACAAAGAATCATCCTATGCTGATGAATTTGTTGAAAGACAACCCTACACAGGATTTTGCTGCACTGTATGGTTCAAGTCCATTAGAAAGACAGAATTCATCTGGTTCCCCCCGGACGGATAGCATGGGTGGAGCCTGCCCTGCAGGTAACCCAAAAGGAAAGAAGAAGCGCCCCCGAGTGACTGAAAAGGGTGGAATGTTGCCTGGAGCAAATACAGGTGCTGGAGGTGGTGGCATGGGGGTCAAATCCCAACAGACATCTTCAATGCCACAGCACCACCAGCATCATTCAGTTACACACGAAGATGATTTCCACCGGGAGCTCCTCTCTATGGATGTGGATGCATCTCAGAATTCGATCTTTGACGTTAACCTAACAGGTGATGGCCTCGACACACCCCACAGCATCACTCCTGCTCCTAGCCAGTGTGGAACACCCCCTCCCGGTTCCAGCATACCTTATTCACAGACTCATGTTCAGTCTCAGCAACAGCAGCCGCAAGGTGCCGTACCACCCCGCATGGTCCGTCTTTCCAGCTCTGACAGCATTGGACCCGATATTACGGAAATCTTGCAAGATTTACCTGAGCAAACGGGCAAAGGCAGCAGCGGGAGTCATGGGCATCACCCAATGGGTAGTGGCGGCGAGGATGGTGGCCCCCTTGGTACCCCCATACGTGACTCTTCCAGCTCGGGCCAGGGTAGTGCAGTGTTTGACTCTGCCGACATCTTCAATACCAACAGCAACGAAATACCCTTTACCGACGCAGCTGACCTGATTGCTGAGGCAACTGCAACTGCTGCCACTCCCAACAGTGACTCGTCCTCCACCAACTTCTTTCCTGATGCATCTGACTTCAACCCGGACCTCCTGGCCTCAGGCCATGGCTTTTCCCAAAACTACTTTGATGACAGCTCTCCAAGTGCTGATGGGGACATGGACCTGGTCAAGGGATTTGGGGGAAGCAGCCAGCAGAACACTCCATCGGGAACTCCTCAGAATCCGGCTCCACATGGACAGAGCACCCCAGAGCCGTCACTGAAGGATCCTTTTGATATGGGGATGGTTTTTGGAGGGGGTGGGAAACCGCTTGGGCAAACTCCTGATTTGGGAGACACACATGGTGGAGGCTCCCAGAGCCCTGTCATAATGGGGCTTGGCACGGATTTTAAAAGCACTGAACCCAAAGTTAAACAACAGCAGGGTCTCATGAGGCCGAAGGACGAGAATGGGGGGAGCGGAGGAAGCAGCTCTGGAATGGGACTGGGGATCAGCTCATCAGAGGGAAAACAGGTTAAACGAAGCAGAACCCCATCCAGTGAGGGAAAGTCTAAAGAAAAACCTCCCAAACGCAAAAAGCTTGATCCCGATGGCAAGTCCCCCTCTCACAGCTCAGGAGGGCGGCCTTATACACCCCCCAGTGGTGGTTCGGGCTCTGGAGGAAGCATAAGTGGTGGGGGTTCCAAATCCCCTGGTAGCTCTGGACGCTCACAAACTCCTCCAGGAGGTGCTACACCTCCAATACCCAAAATCACAATTCAAATCCCAAAAGGGACCATAACTGGAGGGAAAACGTCCTCCCATGGTGGGTACACCTCCAGCAGCTCAGCCACCAGCAGCACAGGGGGCTCAAGTGGAACGGGCAGTAGCAAAAGTCACCACTCACACTCCTCCTCCTCTGGGAAAATCAAGTCCAAAGAGGGCTCCATGACACAAGGCAACAACTCAAAGTCAGGTGGTGCAGGAAGTGGAGGTGTACCCTCCCAGTCAAAAGGCACTTCTCAAGGAATGGGTGTTGGCAAGCCAGGGTCCTCCCCAATAACTAAGCATGGTCTGTCTGGGCCCGTAGGTACTGGAGGGGGAATGGGAAGTGGAAATAAAATCAAGCCTCAGGGGGGCAAACCTCCAGGGTCACTTATGAATCCCAGCATAAAACCTAACATTTCTCCTTCTCATTCTCGTTCTAGTACTTCTGGGGACAAAATGTCCTCCCCTATGAAAATGCAGCAATCTCAGGTTCCTGGCACTCCTCCCTCGTCCAAAGCTAAATCTCCAATGGGCTCAGGAGGTGGTAATAGTGGATCTAAGTCATCCTCAGGTGGAGGTATAAGCTCCCAGAAGCCAGTCGGTGGAGGCTCTTCCTCTGGTTCCACGTCTTCCTCTTCATCCTCTAGCTCCTCATCATCCTCTGGGTCCATGGGCTTCTCAGGAGGTTCCCAGAATCAGTATGGAAGTGGAGGAGGAGGTGGAGGAGGGGGAGGGAGTGGAGGCAATAGCGGAGGTGGTGGGGGAAGTGGTGGAGGAAGTGGTGGTGGGGCTGGTCAGAACAATGCAAATAATCCCAATGCCAAGGGGAAGTCTCCCAGTAGGAACAAAAAACCTTCTCTAACAGCAGTCATTGACAAGCTGAAGAGTGTAGGTGGAGGAGGAGTTGGGGAGGATGGGTGTGAGATAGGTCCACCAGTAGGGGGAGCTGGTCCAGTATCTGCCCCAGGTGGTCCTGGAAATGTGCCGAGTGGACCTTCAAACGTAGGTCCTTCCAAGCATGCTTCATCCTCCCAAAGCGGGGACTATAAGCGAGAAAAGTCTGATAAAGAGCCAAAGGCGAAAGTGTCGGTTTCTGGAGGAAACAGCGGGGACAAAAAGATGATGGACTCAAAAGCAGGTGGGGCAGGTGGGAACACTCTGGCCAAAATTATCATCAGCAAACAAGATGGCGGCTCACCGAGCATCAAAGCGAAGGTGACCCTTCAGAAAGCCGGGGAAGGATCTAACGATTCCATGCGTCCGCAGATTTCTAGCCTGAAAGCGTCCCCCCTCTTTAGCGGCTCTACCCCCAAGCACGACCGCTCCTCGCCCAGCCACAGCCGCTCGCCGGGATACACGCCGCTCAATCACGACAGCGAAAGCGAGTCGGGCAGCAGCTCAGTGGCCGAGAAGTCGCACCAGAACAGCCCCAGCTCAGACGACGACCAGTCGGTGCGCCCCCTGCCCCCCCAGGACTACATGAGCGCCATCCCACTCAGCTCAGGGGAGAAGCACAAGAAGCACAAGAAAGAGAAGAAGAAACAGAAGGAGCGAGAACGGGAGAGAGACAGAGAGAGGGATAGAGAAAAGGAGAAAAAGAAGTCCTCCATGTCCATGGGGTCATCCTCCCATCCCATGAAATCGGACAGCTGGTCGCGTTCTCCCATCACCGCTTCTGATTCGTCACTGTCCATGCTCGGTACCGAGCGTCCATCCCGGTCCAGCCCCATGTACATGAGAAACGAGGATGACGACCTCATGGACTCTGCCCTCACTGGCAACATTTAACCCGAACAAGAGAGCTTCTTTTATATTTTTGTTGTCATGTTTTAACTTGCAGAGTTAACTTCTATTTATTGAACTCCCACCACTAATTGGAACCGGCTGTGAGCGCATTGTGGCTCTTAAGTGGCCGATGACCCGACAAAGCTGTATTTTAATGTAAAATTTTACTGTGTATCCTTTTATAATTTCAAGATTGGAAAGCTTCAATGCAGAGGCGACTTATAACAGCATATTTCTGATACATGAATTTGTTTTTGGTCAAATCAGAATGCTTTTACTTTCAGCCGATGTTTGTTACGTCTTTCAACATTTAGCATATTCTATTCAAAACTATGCTCATTTCCACTTTTATTGTATATTTTATCAAAATACAAAAAATTAAGATCTTATGTAAAAGTATTGTATAGTGAGAAGGATGGTGTATTCACTTACCTTTTTTTTTAGATACAACAGGATTTTTAGATTTTGCTACATTTTTGACTGTTCATGTGTAAATTAGTGTAGCTGAAAAAAACCTTGACAGTTGATGAAAATGGTGATGATGAAGGGGGAAACACTGTCAGTTTTTTCGAACTGTACAATTTTTGGAAGCCTGAAATAAACAGTTCGCTTCTGTAAATGTGAAATCATACTTTATATTAACAGACCTGATGACTCACATGCTGAAATAGATGAAACAATAGATCCTGTTATGTTGTGTACACTATACTGGCAACACTAGGTGGCAGCAGAAAATCAGATTAGGTCAAAGCAAATTTACCTTCAAGTAATTAGGTGTATAATCCCAAAGGTAATTTTTCAAGGTTAACTGGGTTTTCACTTATTTATTCACAGTTATAATGGAAGCTTACTTATGAAATCACTAAACATCAAGAACACAAAAATGACAAATGAGAATCAAAGACATGATACTTTTTCGTTTCAGAGATTTGCCCATTTTGTCAGGCATTGGGAGTTAGGAGTTTCATTTTCTTTTTTACAGTGGCACAGTAAGTAACTGGATCATAAGTGCATATACAGAGAAAAAAAGATCATTGCTACTATTTTAGGTGCACAGAAGCTTACAAAGAGTCTTGAAAGCTAAGAATGTAGCCCGCAGAATCAGAACCGCATATTCCTGAAAATGTGCCCCGTTATTTTGTTCCCCTCCCAAGTCACAACATCAGGGATCCACAAAGGTTCCAGTCACTTGATGCCTTGACCCATCGTCTCACTTTTTCCTGAGTGGGCTATTTTACTTCCCCCAGAAGCACAGGGCTAAAGTGCTTAGCTGACACAAATGGACGGAGCCCTGTTATGAATGAGGGGTGAGAAATGTATTATGGATACAGTTGGCCCAAAGAAATGCGGCATTCAGCTGAAAATGCTCATCTATGGGCATTTTCATAGGCAGTGGCTTGTTTTAAGACAGCTGCTGAATACTTGTTGGCTCGCCATCCACTTCCTGTCTCATAAGTCCCGGCTAAAGGGCCGTCAAGAGGGGGTCAACACATTGTTTAATAATGGATTTTGTTCACAAGAAGTGGCTTAAATGCAATCACTGTTGTAGCAGTTGAATGTCCTTTATCCAGTTAGACTCACACATCATAGCAAGGGATCTTGGGTAAGGCTTTCATGTTTTAAAACGCTGTAATATTAGACTAGGAATTTTGTACAAATAATGCATTTAAAATGGGTTGAAATAGATTCAACGGTAGCCGACAAAAACTCAATGATAATTGTTGTTCATGTAAAGTTTTTGCCATAAGAACTCAATGCCTCTTTCTCCTCTCAGTGAATCTATAAACATGCAATTATTTGTTAAAATAAAATATATTGTGAACAACTTTGATTTAATGGCTTCCTTTGAGCACACACATTATAACCGGACAACCTCAACCTGCAAGTGTTGCAGTCAGAGGTAACGCAGGCTTCTGGGTAAATCCCAGAACCATAGTTGTCAGCTACAACAGCCACACGAGGACAGAACACGATGTTCAGTTACAGACATTTGAAATGTCATCTGCTGAGAGGGATTCATAAAACTCATTTCCAAAGCAGCAAGTAAAGGCCCAAGAAATTTGAAGTGTAAAATTGAGTTTCTCTGAACACACAACTACACCAAAAAATGACATTAAAAGGATATGGTTTCTAAAATCTAAATTCAGCCATTGAATCAAATCAAGGTAGAGATTTTTATCAGCCTCATTCAGCAGCACTTCATTTCGTAAAAAAAAAAAGATAGTTTGAAGATTCTCTTGAACCACAGAAGCCATTTTGATTGTCTAACGATTATAACAAGACTTTTGAATATTCAGAAATGAACAGAGGGCGCATATGTATCTGAGAATTCCGTCTTCTTCTGTTTGCAGAGATGGTCCATATTGGTCCTAATTTCTGTCTGATCATTCAGTTTTTTAAAATGTTGGATAGAAAGAAGAGCGCCTCGAAGCTCTCCTCCTTGTTTCTCCCTTCCTTACTTCCTGTCAAGCTTTTCCAAGTGCTGATCTTCTCCTTTCTGCTGCACAGCTTATTTCTCTATTTCTGACGATGTGGCTCCTTTTTTTTGTCATCAGCTTCATATTCAGTATCAGTGCCTGGATTATATCCACATTATTCCCCTTCCCTCATCCCTTAAGCTTTAACCTAGGCTTTCATCATTTTTCTCAGAGGTTGCAGAGCTGTTTGAGATCTAGCTGCTGGGCAGTATTTGCTTTCAAAAGAAGATGGATAAACATTTTAATCCCTAGTTTTTCTCAAGTTTTTAGTACTCTTTAGTACTCAAATTTGGAATGACAGCATCCATTACTCACTTACCAGAGTGATGTTTGTTCTTTCCTGTGTTGGAGTGTGTGTTCAAATAGGTTTGTATTGTTTTGTTTTTATGGAAATTTGAGCTGTGAAATGAGTGTGATCTGACTTCATGCTCCTGAGGAGGAGGGGAAAGTCATTTGCCAGTCACTTAAGGTTTATGTCTGCACACAGTCCGCTTTTGGAAGTGAGGGGTAAAGGGAAGTGAGAGGCAGAGGAAGTGGGAATAAAGGCAAAGGAAGGATAGAGGAGAAGAGAGTCAAGACTTATTTTCAGCCTCGGAGAGCTGCATTCTTAACTAAGGATATTATTATAGCATGAGAGCCAGAGACAGACTCCAGCCTCAGAGCAGCAGCAGCAGCTTACAGAATATCTGCAGTGGAGCATTCTATCAGCCATGGAGGTTGTTATCTGAAGAAGAATTGGGTTGCACTTATAGAAGAACATTGCTGTTGTGTTACTGTTCCAATTATTTCCATCTATGTGTGTGTAGACATGCAGATTGGGATAATGGAATAAGGGTGTATTCTAAGAGGGAAAAGCTATCAGACATGAATCCCAGATCTAGCAAGGAGATTAATTAGATCCAGCCTCCATTCCAAGTCACTGCAAGTGAAGCGTGACAAATTTTCATTGATTGTTTTTTTTTTTTTGTTTTTTTTGCTGCTTCTGTGAATCCATCAGCATTGAACTGACAAATTCCAATTCGAAAAAAGAAAACAATAACCATGCCCTTTGATGACTTTTGCTTGTTTGCCGTGAACAGTTTCTGCTCATGTGGCTTTGCAGAATTTAGCAAACTGCTGAGGAATGTTTCCATAACTGTAAGAGGCTTGTTGTGCTGAGCGCCCGTAAAAACGGTGATGCTTGTAAAACATCAGCAAAACGGAGGGAAGTGAAAGTGCACCTCAGAAATCACCTGGAACCACGTTTCCCCGTGGTGTAAGACTTTTTCCCATATAATGACTAAATAATTATTTATAATGAAAAACGTATCCCAAAAATCACAGTTTAGTGCATGTCTGACCACACTGGTATTGTTACATAAAATGTTATGTAACATTCAGCACCATGGAGAGCTCCGCAGCACATCTGCCTGGATGTGGAATGGCTACCGAATTAACTACATTTTTAAAGGTGATTTTTTTTACCGTCAAATCAAATGAGGGAATATTCATTTGCTGTTCTGCACAGACTCGCCTTTGGAGGAGTTTTTGCTTTCAAGTGTTACATGCTTTGTCTTTGAAGACAGAACCAAAGGAAAATCTCTCTTTTTAAGTCTTAGACTATTTGAGGAAAACTGTTATGAGATTTCAAATCTTGGGTCAGTCTGAAATGTCACGTAAGGTCAGTGGATGCAGAATATACTCTCTACGCTAAAGAAATGTGTTGCTCTGTAACCATGGGCAGCAGTTTGGCCTGAAAGGCTCGTACCATGCAGGAGTGAGTCACCAAGCTTGTGTCTTCCATTTTCTTCCCCTGTCAGCAGTGTATTTGAGCCCAGAAATATTTATGTCAGGCTGTCTGTGGGAAATGTAATGATTAAATAAGAGGCAATTGCTGTTACTGAATCCCTCAAGACCTGGAGTGTGACTCATCGAAAGACAGCCAAACCCTTATCAAACACGAGCCCCTATGCCATTCTGTCTATACTCTATACCATAATCTCAGACTCAGTCTCATTTCACGGTTCCTCCAGCTCACAGAGTCACTACTGCAAATATCAAGACCATTAATGTGAATGTACAATAAACATTTCAAGAGATTTACTGTCTGTGCTCCACTGTTGGCTCAGACTAACTGACTGGATGACATAATATTACTCTGACATGGATTTTCTTTTGTCCATAACACTTCTATTATATGTGACATTTGATTTTAAATGAATGGGTATGATTTATGGGGGCTGCAGAGTTGTGTGTGTGCAGGAGGCTCACTGGTTTAAGTCTCAGCCAGTGGAGTTTGCATGTTCTCCGTGAGTTACTATGGCTCCCTATCATTGTCCTAAAACATCCATTTTGGATAACTGACCTCTCTAAATTGTCTTTGGAAGTGAGTGTATTCATGCATGGTGTGTCTCTGTGTGGACTCGTGATGGACTGGCGACTTGTCTGTGATGTTGTTTTAACATTTTATTTTAAAAATCAAATAGGGGGCTTTATATTGAATCACTATAGAAGGGACATGATGTAGATTTTCTTTTTTTTTTCAAA